ATTTATTTTTTTAATTATTATTTTACGGTAATTATACGAAAACGTTATATTTTAATATATTTAAGTTAAATATATAATATATAATTATATTAATTATATATATTTTTAAATAAAGATTTTTTAAATATTAACCGTAAAAAAATAAAAATAAAATCTAAATAATTAAAAAGTATCCATTACTAATACTACGTTCTAATTTATCCACTAATAATACTACATACCGATTTTTTTATTAGTTAACGAAAAAATCTGTCCAAACCTTGTGTTTATTTTTTAATTGGTCTAATTTTAATCCTTGTTTTTTTTACTGATTCTAACGAAACCTTTTAATATAAATAAAACCTTTACGACGTTTTTATTATTCGTTTTTTCGTTTTCATCTTTAACCTTTTACTTTTCTTTTTATTCGTTTTTCTTTTAACCTTTATTTATTTATTCGTTTCTTTTATTTTTTTTCGACGCCCGGGACGGCGTTAAACTAACAAAATGGAGTCAGACGATACGTATACCCCTATATACGGTGACGACTCTATTATAATAAAGCCTTACGAACCGTCTTCACCAATTCGACGTCTTTTTCTAGGTAAAAAGAAAAAAATACCCCCTTCTAATCCTAACTTCGTTTTAAACGACGAAAATTCATCGGTTTATTTAATCTTGAATGGATTAATACGTCGTATTCTTTTACCCTTTTTTAACAAAAGTGTCGACCGTTTAATTCGGGTTATTTATATTCGGTAAGTTTTTTAATATTAATTATATTTTTATACTGTTTTTTTTAAATATTAATATTTTAACGTTTTTTAAACTTTAAGTGTGACTGTGGTTTTAAACTAAAACCTTTAAATAAATTTAAAAGTTCGAATTACGTCGCCCACTATAAAAACACTACCCCGAAATAGTTTATAATAAAGTTATAGAAAAAACACTTTCGAAAAGTAGGTTTATTTAATTTAATTTTTAAATTTAACTTTATTTATTCGTTTTTATTAATTCGTTTTATTTATTTTATAGTCGACGATTTACCCCTTATTCTTATAACGACCGAATCGGTAAATAGGTTATTTAACCTTCCTACCCGAAAAAGGCCCCGTTCGAATACAAATCTAAAACCGGTAATAAAAGACGAGGTTAATAATAAAATTTTACGTTTTATTATTAAAAATAACCTCTCTTTTATTATAATCGATTCGTGGCCGAAGGCCACGAATCAAGTGACTAGGCTTACATAATAGGGCGTGGTGTGGCTGGTCCCCAACCATACGTTAACGCCACGTTAGTGAAAAGCCTTTTCTCCTTAAATAAAAGGACTCCCTTCTTCCCACCGGGAAAAAGGGGTAAGAATTAATCTTTATTATAATACATATCTATCTTCGTCCTCGAAACTAATACTTTTTATTAACTAATTTATTATAAAGACTTATCTTATAATCACTTATAATAATTTTAATTCTTCTTTTTACGGATACCTTTTTACGATAATTAAAAAAAAAGAAGTAATAAACCTACCTCGTATCGGGTCGAGTCGAGTTATACATAAGGTTATGAAATTAATATATAGTATTTTGTTATAAGTGATTGTAGGATAGGTCTTCACAATAGATTAGTTGATGAAAAGCATTGGTTTCGAGGGCGAAGGTAGGTGTGTATTATAACAAAGACTAATTCTTACCCCTTCTTCCTAAGGGGAAAAAGGGAGTCCTCTTATTTAAGGAGAAAGGCTTTTTCACTAACGTGTGGTTAAAGACCAACCACACCGCGCCCTATTATATAAGCCTAGTCACCTAATTCGTAACCTTCGGTTACGAATCGATTATAATAATTATCCTCCCCCTTCGATAAACTAGGCTTTAGTTTTTCTCACGACCTTTTTTAATCTTCTTACTTTTATCCAGGTAAAGAGTATCGGAAGTTATAGTTAGTCCTTTAACTATACACGATAGTCCGTTAATTCGTATACGAGTTACCTTATAATCTTTTATACCGTATAATGGTCCGGTTTATCGGTCACCGACGTAGTACGAGGTTTAAAAGTATTAGGCGTATTTAAACTATTTATTATTAAACGCCGATGTTTAAATAAATATCTTTATTTACGGTTAAAATAAAGATACTATTTAACGTCGTAGTTTTCGTAAAGTATACGTGTAGTTATACGGTGAATAAGTAACGACGAGTGTTCGTAAACGGTTTTTACCCGAAACGTTTATTTATAAACATCGCTCTTTTTATAAACGTTATTTACCCTTATTACTCCTTTTTCGTATACGAGTATAAGGATAGTTACCCGACTAGGCTTTTATTATAACTCGCTCTTACCTTTTTACTCTTTACCCACCTTTAATTTAATAAACGTTTTTTAAGTAAATTATTTTCCACTCGTAAAAAAATCACGACTTATTTTCTTTCTCTCCCTTTTCTTTACTAACGCTTCCCGAGTAAGTCGACCACTTCTCGTCCGTAAATCGTTAACGGAGTCTTTTTAATAATATCGTTTCTTCTCGTTTATATTTCGTAGTTTATTCGTTTAAAAGTCGCTTTTAACTAAATTATTCTTTATTATACCTCCCGAAACACTTAAACGTTATAAACACGGTAAGGACGAGTCTTTAAACGATATTATAACGAGAATCTCGTAGTCTTCCTTCTTCGTCTCCCCGTCCTCGTATAATAACGTAAGTAATTCGGGCTCGAAAGTTTAACGTTTAACGACGGTGTTAAATCGTACGCCCGTCCGACGTTTTACGGGCTCGTTTCGTTACTCTCTTACTCTTTTTTACACTAATTAACTTATAGTGTCGGAAACTAAAGAATATACGTACGTTCGTATTATCGTTCGACGTATTAACGTTAATTCGTTTACGAGTCGTTCGTTAGTCGTTAAACCTTTTTAACCTCGGCTTAATATATTACGACCTATTTAATAAGTGGCCCTACCACCCGTAAAAGAATCTTAACCACGACCACTCTTTTCGGACTTGTCGTTACGTTCGTTTATAGTTCCGCCTATTCCGTCTTTCCGGACTACTTCTTTTACGTCTCGTCTTTAAGTCGTAAACCTTTCGGACTCGAATCGTCTTTAACTACTTAGTAACCTTACGTTTTACGACGTAGTCGTAGACCCTTCGAACCCGTATCACTCTCGTTTTACTACGACTCCCGTTAATTTTACGAATCGTCTACGTACTATTAACGATACTACTTCCGTTTCCTTTATAACGTAAGCCTCGTTTACGGCTTTTTAACGTTCTACTTACGAAACGTTAAACCGTAATACTTTTAACGATATACACTTAAGTAAAAACAGTGATATAATAAACGAGGACTCCGACGACGAGTCGTTAAGGATTTAAAATAACGACGACCCCGAGCCGGAGTTTACCACCGACCCTTAAGTCTATACGTATATCACTTATCTCTTTAACACGGTTAATAACCTTTAAAACGTCAACCCTCGTTAAACTTTACGTTACGTATACGGAGTAACGACGAGATGTTAACGATACGAGGCTCGTTATTATTCTTATAAAAAGGTTTCTACGTTATTTATAAGAAAC